CGAACTGCAGCATGACAAGATCCTTATGATTTTATATATTAGAGAGTGATACCAGGTGCCAAAGAGCATGTCAAAGAGGTGCATCTTCAGCATGCAATGGAAACTGCATAATGAAGGTGCCAGATGTACCTCTGTGGGGAGGGAATTCCACATCTTAGTGGCTGCCCCAGAGAATGCCCTCTCCTGGGCCACCCCGTCCCCCCCCCCCCGAGCTTCATAGGATGGTGGAGTGGTCAAAAGGGCCCCCTCTGATGATCTCAACAGAATGATGATGATGATGATGATGATTGTAATAGCACAGTCTTATGAAAAAATGCCTTGAACTTCCATCTGTTTAGGAAATGGGTGAGCAAAATGATGTGAGACACTCTCCCCCTCCCCCCCCTCCCCAGTTCTGAAATATTTTCCTTTTATCTGGAAAAACCAAGCCCTGGAGAAACTGATCTGTTGGGGGCAGGGTATGCTCATTCCCATTCAAGCAAAGGGAGTATTAATGTCCCTTAAGGGCATGTTTGTTGCTCCTTAGATCTCTTAGCTGGGGTAGTTCTATTTGGGGGTGGGGTTGCTTCTTTTAATGCCTTTGGTTTACCAAAGTGTGGAGACGATGGCCCTGTGCTGCACCCCACCCTAAGCTTCTCTGAGGTACTGGGGCAACATTAAAATGGTTTGTGCCTTAATGGGCAAGCTGTAATTAACTCCGAGGTTTCACTTGGGTAAAGATGATGGTGGTGCAGGGCTAGTGTTTAAAAAATAAATCAACCCACAAATGAAAGAGGGGGAGAGGGAGGGAAGAAAGCCTGGGGGGTAGGAACAGTTTGTAGGTCATGCTGCATTTTCATCTTTAGAAAAATGAGGGTTAGTGAGAGAAAGGAGAACAAATCCACATAATAGCACTTACGTCGATACACCATGGATGTTCTCATTGTTCTGTTTCCCTGTTTTCTGTAGCTGATCCCACAGTAACTACTACGCACACAGTTTCTATGTACAAATAAAACAAGTATGAGCTGAGACGAAATCATGCATTTTAATGTGATGTTTGATCCAAGTTTCTGGTCCTTATGACTGCTTAAAAAAAGAGTAAAAATGTGTAGGACGCATCTGTTGAGGCCAAGTGGGGTGATTCATCACAAGATGTTCCTCTCCTCATGTAAATGGCACAGTCTAGTGTGTAAAATTTCTTCAGGTTGCAGGAGTCATTTCTTCTACACTTCTACACAGTGTTGGGATAAAATTAAATGCACAGTTTTCATTTTCTCTTTGCACACGCTGAACTGCACAACAACCCTGTTCTACCTTTCCCTGCACAAGTAAAAACTGTAAAAATATTTCTTCTTTGCTTTGTGAACCACTAGTGCACCTCAGGATCAGGTTATTTAAGGATTTGCTCTGCAAAAGAATAATCTGACAAAGAATGCTTTTGTTCATCTAAATCCTCTGGAGAAGAAAATCTCAGGAAGTTTGTGAAAATACAAACTACAAAGCACCATTTAGTTACTTTTTGTTGGAAAGCAAGACAGGTGTGTACATTGATATGATCCTCATACAGATCTTCAGGATTTTTAAAAGCATTTTTCATAAAGCCAACGGTCTGTTTACTTTAGGAGTGTTAACTGGAGAAAGTTCAAGGAGGCAAGATGATAATGACCCCCCTTCTAGCATCCTTTTTTGTTGTCCATTAATTATGATTTGTGCTCCTGGTGTCAGGGCGTTAATATGCGATGCTGTTAGCACCCACGAAAGCTTCTGGGTGAGCATAAGAAGAGCACTGCTGGATCAGGCCAGCATCCTGTTGTCACAGTGACCAGCCTGATGCCCCCAATGAGAAGCCCCAAAACAGGCTCCAACCATGCAGGCCTCTTTTAAAGCCATCAAGGTTGATGGGCATCACTGCTTCCTGTGGGAGCGAATTTCACTATTCTCTGCATGAAGAAGTCCTTCCCTTTGTCTGGTCTGAATGTTCCAACGTCCAGCTTCCCTGGCTGTGCAAGAGTCCCAGAGTTATGAGAGAGGGAGGAAAACTTTTCTCCACTCCATGCATAATTTTATAAACGTCTTACCTGTCATGTTGCCACTTACTCACCTTTTCTCTAAACTGAACAGTGCCAAATGTGCCAGCCTTTCCTCTCAGGGCAGTCCCTCCGTCCCCTTGATCATTTTTAGCTTCCCAGAACAGAAGCTATTGTCTTACATCCCCAGCCTTGAGGGAGGGAAACAGCCTGAAGGTTGGGGAAAAGCTTTGGAAGGAATCAGTCCAGAGGGTTAGGCATCTCTTGTCTTGCTGGTGATGGATTCTCCAGTGCATTCAGGTTAAACATCAGCAAAATGTGGAGTGGAGAAGTCATGTCAGCTTAGTGCCTGAACTTGTGGTTTCCTGCAAAGATCTGATCTCTTCCCCCCTCTGATATTTCCTGTCCACCCTCAGATTTTGTGTGCATTTGTCCTGTTCCGTTCTTGCAGGGGAGCCTGTAGGACTAGTGTCGCAGTCATCAGGCAGTGAGCAACTTCCTCCAACCAAGGTTGGAGAACGCTGTGGCCTTTTGATGCTCCTCTTCCTCCCCCCTGCTTTTCCTAGGCTCCACCCCCTTTTATAGAACCAGGGTCCTTAAAGGGCCAATCCACCCCATCCTGCTTGCAGGCGGGTGCATGTTAGGTGTTCCTTGGCCTCCTTCTGGGAGCGTTCCCTGCAGAGTTGGACTGCTGAGGGTAGGTTAGGAGGACCCCAGTTCCTCAGGCCCAGGGATAAGAGAATCGTAGCACTGTAGGGTTGAAAGGGATCCCAAGAGTCATCTAGACCACCCCCTGCAATGCAGGAGTCTCAAATAGTTCATACATGACAGATGGCCATCCAACCTCTACAGTGGTACCTCTAGTTACGAACTTAATTCGTTCCGGAGGTCCGTTCTTAACCTGAAAATTAGCTTTTGCTAATGGGGCCTCTTGCTGCTGCTCTTGCGCCACCAGCACGCGATTTTCGTTCTCATCCTGGGGCAAAGTTCTCAACTCGAGGTAACTCTTCTAGGTTAGCAGAGTTTGTAATCTGAAGTGTTATTAATCTGAGATATTTGTAACTCGAGGTACCACTGTACTTTAAAATCTCCAAGGAAGGAGAGTCCACTACCTCTGGAGGGAGTCTGTTCTACCGCCAAACTGCACTTACTAACATGCATGAGGATCCTGACTTACAGTCCATACCTTGGGTTACAGACACTTCAGGTTGTGTTTTTTCTGGATATGAACCGCCGAAACCTGGAAGTACTGGAAGGGGTTACTTCCGGGTTTCGGCGGTCACGCATGCACAGAAGCGCCGAATCGCAACCCATGCATGCGCAGACGCGCCGCTGCGGGTTGCGGATGCTGCGGGTTGCAAATGTGCATCTCATATGGATCACGTTCGCAACCCGAGCATCCACTGTAGTTGTATGGACCTTCATACTGTGGGATCTGGTCCATCTGGCCTTGGTCCCTCATGTCCTCATATTGGCTTCATCTTTTGATTCTGTGTCTCCATTGCTGCTGGACGCTGGAGGCCATTCAGACACTAGCGGAGGAAGGGGGGGAGCGCCCCGCCCCCGGCAGCGTGATCCCGGTGGGGTGCCATCGCGGATGACCCCCTGCCCGCACTGGGGGCCACGCCCCCAGGATGTGTGCCCGCCCCACCCCCACCCCGGTGCAGGAGCATGAAGCTCCACCACTGCATTCAGACCTTCTTGAACGTCTCGGCTCCAGTTGGTCAATAGAAGGACTGGTTAACTGAGAACTTGGATCTGAGTTTGCACATTTCTTCCTCCTTCCTGATCAGTTTTCTTTTTGTGCTGCATCTTTTTCTTTTTTTTAAGAGCATAATTCTGACTCTGCAGCCTCTGACTCTGCATCTCTTAGTTCGCTGCTGGACTCTGGGCTCATGACAACATTAGGGAATGGCTTTTTATACGGGGGTTGTTGTGTTTTTTAAGTCTCCTTCATCATTTATATTGTACATTGTCCTGTTGCAAACATGGTTGGAAAGAAAAGAGTTTGTCTTTCCATAGAGGCCCATGCTAGAGGCTTCATTAGTACCTCATTTACACTGCAATTTTTATAAATGAAAACAAAAACAGGTTGTACCCAATTCAGTCCTACACAGAGTAGGCCCACTGAAATTAATGGATTGAATTGAGCAATATTCATTGTTTTCAGTGCGTCTGCTCTGAAAGGTTGTACTGGCTGCAGCCCAAAGTAATTAAGCACACACTTAGGCTCATGGATAAGCATTTTTGCATACCTTTTATTATCCACAAGCTTTCAACACATCCCAAAATTAACCCTTTCTTTTCCTGTGATCAAAAGCCAAGTATTGCTGGGGAATTTCCAAATGGAATTGTTGGCATATTTCCTCCCCAGTCGATTTAAATATAACTCCTATGCAGTATGTTGTACAGTATATGGTTTGTCAGGGTCCCCTTCGTATTCCCCCCCACCCCCGTTTTTTTACACTGCCGCATGCTGAAGGATACCATATGGCTGTCCTGGATCAACCATCCAAGTTTGACCTTAATCTGCAGTTAATATTTGTTTTTCGACAGATTTAACACAAATCTGGTTTTGACTTGCCGCATACAATAGAAATTTCTTTTTACTGTGCAGGCAGGGCTAGGCTTGGATTAGTACATATTTTTCTGTGTGTCTCCTTTTTGCTGTGCCTATAAAAGGTTTTTTAGCTTCAGTTGTGTTGGATAGGGCTCTGGTTTTCAAACTAGGAACACAGGAAGCTGTCTTATATCCCATGAGACCATTGGTTTGTCTAGCTCAATATTTTCTACATTGTATGGAAAGCAGGTGCCACATTTCCTTTCAAATAAAGTAAGGTTCTAGTCCTCGTTATTCCATATAAAGAGCTCAGTTAAACAGGAACACAGTGAGCTGCCTTAGCCTGAGTCAGCCCACTCGTCCATCCAGCTCAGTATTGTCTGCACTGACTGGCAGTGGCTCTCTGGGGTTTGGGGCAGGGTGTTTTGCTCTGACCTACCTGGAGATGCAATTGGGGCATAAACCAGGGGCCTTCTGCATGCAAAGCAGATGCTCTACCACTGAGCTGTGGTCTGTCCCCTAAATATAAAGTAAGATTCTAGTCTTCATGGTTTTAAGTGATGGGATGTTATAAATAAGAAGCTGGCTTGAGTCAAACCCTTGGTCCGTGTAGCTCAGTATTGTCTACACTGACTGCCAGTAGCTCTCTGAGGGTTTCTGGCAGAGAGTCTCCCCCACAGTGTTCAAAATTTGCCAGGCACCAGGTGTGTTCCGCACCTGGCTGTCGGCCGCTTGTGACCAAGTGAAGATGCCAAGGCACCACCATCTGGAGGTGCATGCCTGGGGATCATTGGGTCCTGACGGTTTCCACACACAAACAACACCCCATCCTGTAGAATTCCATCTGTGACATTTTATCTGCACAATCAGAATGGATTTCAGGAAAACAAAAAGTTGTTTTGAAAAATACGACTTTTGAGACTTCTGGCCCCAATTTGGCACCTAGGCATTCCGTTTTGGCGACTGGTTTAAGGAGCCATTTGGCGCCTAGCTAATATATCTGAGTTTCTAGCACTGCTGTCCCAGCCCTGCCTGAAGATACCATTGGGGATTGAACCTAGGATTGAGAACATTGGGGATTGAATCTGCAGAGCAGATACTCTACCACCGAGCCACAGCCCTTCCGTGTTCTGCCCCCCCCCCCGCCCCTGGTGGCACTGAATTCCTTTTCATTGTCATCCCTGGCATGCCAGTTTTTGAGTACAGTGATACCTCGGGTTAAGAACTTAATTCGTTCTGGAGGTCCGTTCTTAACCTGAAACTGTTCTTAACCTGAAGCACCACTTTAGCTAATGGGGCCTCCTGCTGCTGCCGTGCTGCGGGAGCATGATTTCTGTTCTCAACCTGAAGCAAAGTTCTTAACCCGAGGTACTATTTCTGGGTTAGCGGAGTCTGTAACCTGAAGCGTATGTAACCCGAGGTACCACTGTACTCTGGTTCTTCACAACTGGGTTACTCCAGAGAGAGAGAGAATATGAGTGTTGTGTCTCCACCTGGCTCCGCTCCACAGCGACATAATATTCTTGCCCAGGATTAGGAAACCCTTTTTGTCCTGAGGGCCGTATCCCCTTACATGCAACCTTCCAAGGGCCACAGTAGTAATAGACACATCATTGGAATGGGTAGGCTTATTTGGGAGCAAAATATCTTTTTTGGGGAGTGCTATAGGAAGACAATGCAAGTGAGATCAGGGGTTGGGGCGATTTTTATGACTTGAGGACCACATTCCATTCTAAGTAACTTTCTTGGAGCCCATCTCAGTGGTGGGCAGGGCCAGAGGCAAAAATGGGCCAAGCTACATATGCCAATTTTACTCCAGCACAGTAGGCTGGTTTCTGCAGTTAATTGCATGCCCAGGAAGCAGGAGGCATTAATGTCCAGGAACTATGTCCAGGAAGCAGGAGGCATTAATTATCAGGGTTCAATGACACATCCTCGCCAGGCAGAAACACTCACGGAAGATGTGTGAGTTATGGATTTTTACCCTGCCAATATGCATTAGCACTCTGGGCTTAAGTGTTTCTGAGGCATTTAGTTACAAATCTGAACTGATTCTCAGAACTGCTTTTGCTTGCTTCAGTGGTTTAGAAAAGACACCAGATGGGTCATTGCTCAGTGGTAGGACATCTGCCTTGCATGCCCAAGGTCTTGGGTTCGATCCTTGACATCTCCAGTTAGAGCTGAGAAAGACCTGTGCTTGAAAACACGAGAGAGAGAGAGCTGCTGCCAGTCAGAGTGGACAACCCTGGGCTAGGTTGCCTGATTTGGTATAAGGCAGATTCCTGTGTTCCAGGTCAACGTGTGCAAAGGCCTTGTAACTGCCACCTGCTACTTGTAACACGGGACACGGGTGGTGCCGTGGTCTAAACCACTGAGCCTAGGGCTTGCCGATCAGAAGGTCGGCGGTTCGAATTCCTGCGACAGGGTGAGCTCCTGTTGTTTGGTCCCAGCTCCTGCCAACCTAGCAGTTTGAAAGCACGTCAGAGTGCAAGTAGATAAATAGGTACCGCTCTGGTGGGAAGGTAAACGGTGTTTTCGCACTCTGCTCTGGTTCACCAGAAGTGGCTCAGTCATGCTGGCCACATGACCTGGAAGCTGTATGCCGGCTCCCTCGGCCAATAAAGCAAGATGAGCGCCGCAACCCCAGAGTCGGTCACGACTGGACCTAACGGTCAGGGATTGCTTTACCTTACTTGGAAGAGCACCAGAAGAGCCTTGTGTTTGGGTTAGCTCAAAGGGGGTCCATCAAAGTCCAGCATCCTGTTTTCATACTGGCCAACCAGATGCCCCAGTGGGAAGCCTGCAAGCAAGACCTGAGTGCAACAGCAACTTGACGCTCCACCTTGTGATTCCTAGCAATTGCTACTCACAGGAATACACTCGTGCCAGGATATTTCCCACCCACCCAGAGCAACTTCTCCATTTCATATGCAGTATGTCAACTAGGTTTCAAGGGTGGCAGCTGGAAGGCCTGTCCTGGCATCTAGAAAGCCTTCCGCATAGGGGAGAGCGGTCAGTTTGGAGAGCCTTTGAACCAGCATTGTGCATTGTGAAGGGAGGCAAAACATCCTTGATTTTATACATGGACAATGAAAACTGCACACAATATGTAGTTTGGTTACATTTTCTATAGCTGCAATAGGAAGCTATGATGAAACATCTCGGCAGGGAGCTGGGGGCGGAAAATAACTTTACAAGGCAAAAAAAAGTGTGATTGCTCTTTTCCACAGAGTGTAATGGAAGGAATTACCTCTAGGAAATAACCTGCTCTCCAGGACAATTTTTTTTTTAAACACTATTTGTGGGGGTTGGGGGGGGGAGCTCACTCAGTTTACAATACATAAAGGTAAAGGGACCCCTGACCATTAGGTCCAGTCGTGGCCGACTCTGGGGTTGCGGCACTCATCTCGCTTTATTGGCCGATGGAGCCAGCGTACAGCTTCCGGGTCATGTGGCCAGCATGACTTAAGCCGCTTCTGGCGAACCAGAACAGCACACGGAAACGCCGTTTACCTTCCCGCTGGAGCGGTACCTAGTTATCTACTTGCACTTGGACGTGCTTTCAAACTGCTAGGTTGGCAGGATCAGGGACTGAACGACGGGAACTCACCCTGTTGCGGAGTTTCGAACCACCGACCTTCTGATCGGCAAGCCCTAGGCTCTGTGGTTTAACCCACAGCGCCCCCCACGTTGCTTGTAAATAGGAAGGCAAGTTTTATTCAATGCACCAGAAGCAACTCTTGACATGCCTGTTTAGTGAGGCTGGCTTGAGATTCTTTTGGAGTGGTGTTTTATCAATGGCTGGGGAAGCTACAACTCTGAAATAAGGCAGAGACTAAAACCTGAAGGTGGTCGAGCAGGATTGCCTGCCCATGCCCAGTGAACATAAGAAGAGCCTTTTTGGATCAGGCCAGTGGACTATGAAAGATCCTGAAAGATCTTCATTGGCTCCCAGTACGTTTCTGAGCACAATTCAAAGTGTTGGTGCTTTAAAGCCCTAAACGGCCTCTGTCCAGTATACCTGAAGGAGCGTCTCCACCCCCATCGTTCTACCTGGACACTGAGGTCCAGCGCTGAGGGCCTTCTGGCAGTTCCCTCGCTGCAAGAAGCCGAGCTAAAGGGAACCAGGCAGAGAGCCTTCTCGGTAGTGGCGCTCACCCTGTGGAATGCCCTCCTAGCAGTTGTCAAGGCAATAAGCAAGTATTTTACTTCTAAAAGACAACTGAAGGTAGCCCTGTTTAGGGAAGTTTTTAATGTCTGATGCTGTCTTGTTTTTAATATTTGGTTGGAAGCCGCCCAGAGTGGCTGGGGAAGCCCAGCCAGATGGGTGGGGTATAAATAATATATTATTATTATTATTATTATTATTTAGTCCAGCATTCTATTCTCGTAGCAACCAATCAGATGCCTCAATGGGAAGCCTGCAAGGAGGACCTGAGAACAAGAGCAACACTCTCCCCACTTGTGATTCTCAGCAGCTTTTATTTAGAGGCACACAACTTCCAGTAGTGGAAGGAGAACACAGACATCATGGCTAGTGGCCATCAGATAGACTTATCCTCCATGAATTTCTCTAATCTTTTAAGGCCATCCAAGTTGTTGGCCTTCACTCCCACCTGTGAAGAAGTCCTTTATTTCATTTGTCTTGAATCTTCCCAACATTCAGCTTCATAGGATGTCTGTGAGTTTGGGTATTAAGAGAGGGGGAGGGGAAAAAATTTCTCTGTCCACTTTCTCTGTGCCATGCATAATTTTGTAGACTGTCTATCATGCCTCCTCTTACCTTTTCCCTAAACTAAAGCATCCATGGTATATGAGTGCACATGTGTGCTCCAGGGGAAAGATGCACATGAGCTGGGAGCCACAGTGAACGGCACGATGTCTAACTGTGGAATTAATTTTTGAAATTATCCCAAATCAGGCTGGAATTTTGGATGAGTGGAACAGTGGGTGTTGGGCCAGTCTTGCAAATATCCCTACTAAATTTACTAGCCTGTATAGTTAATTTGATAGTTTGTTAGGAAACTAGTAGCACAGAAATACAGATGGCTGGCCGCTTAGCAAGGCTGGTGGAGCATGCAGGATCCACCTCATACCAAGTGTGTGGGCGACAGAGTGACCAGTCCCTTGGCCAGCCTGCTTGTACTAGCCATAGAAGGAGCCAGCCCATTGAATTTACCATTCCTCTGCGACTACCAGGCAAGCTGTTAAATGCAAGGCTGAAGCTGGAGGAGCCGTCTCACCCTGATCACAATATTGGACACTCTTGGACTGATTCCCACCAGCAAAGCGTTGACAATTGCCTCCCAATAAATTCAGGTTGCAAAATTAAAATGGATTTGGTGCTCGTGTGTGATTAAACCCGCTTCCAAAAATCAATTTAAAAATTAGTCTCTTTTGCAGTAAGGTGACAGGAAAATGCTCCAGAAAGTGTGGGAATTCCCTGGGAAAACAGTATGGCAGCAATGCTTCTGAATGCAAGTTGCTGGAAACCATAGGAGGGGAGGGTGCTC